AGGTGTTTAAGGTATCAGCGGCTGTGCATCTTATCCTACGAGCCAATCTGCGCAGACTTCGCTCGAGGGGGGAGTAATCGTGTTTGCCGAACTGATTACATTTACACAAGTGATAAGGCGGCCGGGTAAACGACGACGATAGTTATGAAATGCCGTAATAGTAAAGCTTTCGAATATCAAGATGCATTATGCAAAGTAACGAGGTGTAAAAATAATACCGCGCGCTCTTAACGCTCGCTCGCCCGCCCGCCGCCCTGAATTCCCCGCGTCGCGAAACGTGAGTTAATGTACGACACGTCGATACGTGTAATACCGATACTGCAAGCACGATTCAACTGAAAAACCCAAACACCCGACTCGAAATTCAAATCTCTGAGTATCTCATCTGTGGGTGAGTTTCAAGTAAACGATTCGATTGAATGACGCATCTGAGGTAAAGAAATCTTCTATCGGCGCAGGAAGGAGGAAGGTGATTTTGCTACACGTCAATGCGCGGCCGCACATGGCGAAAACAATCTTGGAAGTTATCTTCGATAATTCTCCCTCATGCGGCGTATTTTCCAGACGCCCCCCCTTCGGAATACCATCTTTCCCGATCCCTGCAAAATCACCCGGTTGATTCCCAGTTCGAGTCTCCCGTGGAGATCGACAAAAGCATCGATATGTTCATCAACTCGAGACCATCCTTCTTCCGAAGCGGATTTCGTCGGTTATCCGAAAGATGACAGAAGTGTGAAGAAAGTAACGGAGACTATTTCGAAGGCTGAATGATCATTCGTCTTTTTTGTCAACAAACAACATATTTTCTTGAAAAAGGCTGAGAATTAAATAGTACGCCTAATACATACATCAGATTTACTTTTCAATTTCCAATGAAAATAATTCACTAAAATTGATTCGGAATGAATAATTAACCCTATATAAGTGAAAAATCGCTCAAATTCGAACGATTCGATTTACTATTCAAGTGATATTTTATCTCGAGAAATTTCAAGAACGAAACACAAACCCCTGTAGGTAAATAGCGCGTCGAACGTACATCGTCATCGGACGATTTCGTGAAAAGCAAGAAAGATATCTCCGAGATATCTTTTCTACGTTGTTCCCGTATCTGTCGCGTGCCACGATTATTTAATCTCCCCGTTTCGTGCACACCACATATCCAGACGTACGGCGTATTTATTAGTTTACTCGTGTCGCAGTGGCATATCGATCGCCACAATGGAACGATTAATAGCAACGAAACGCGATCGCGCCGTTCTCGTTCATTCCGTGCTATTCTTAATCGCGTATCAATTGAGTGTCCCACTTATGCTTTTATTCTGGTCACGCATCCGATCGTGGAAGCGCTTCAAGCGGATATCTCGCGTCCGCGAGGTTTCGCCAGCGTGAAAAAATACTGCGTGCGAAGATACGGCGCGTGGGCAGCCCGCTTGCGAGTTTCTCCGGCCTCGAAATTTCTTCCCGGGACCATCTTCGGGAGTTTCTCCGGGACCATCCGGTGTGTCTCACGGAGGGCGATTCGCCTAAACGCAATTCGCGCGAAAAAGCAGTCGGGAGCCGAGGAAGGGAGACGGATTCTCCCATAATAGGGATTTTCATACGAGCCTCGATGAATCTCGAGACGCAGCTCGGCACGCGAAGAGCGAGATATCCTTCTCGATTTCATCGGGAGCGAGATTTATTTACCGCCGAGGAATTTCAGATGTATGCGCAAATCTCTTGATTGCATCGAGATGGATTTATCCCGGCTGTGAATTCCACGGTGAATTATTTGACACGACGAAAAGGACGAAAACCGGCCTCTGTCTCGCGAATTCGATTAGAACAGCGTAACGATTCGATAGCGCGTCCTTATATACTCCCGCGGATATACACAGAAATCGGTGTTAACCCGCTCTAAGTCTACAGAGACTTTCCGCTTCGGTGAGTCTCAGCGTTCGAATTCAATGAGTTATAACTCGCGAGTTAGGACTCGTCTCTCGGTACCTCGAGAGATATTTGATAAGAGCGAATCGATCGCGCGCGCGCGCGTTCGCCCGTCGAAGAACCCCCGACGATTCGAGCGGAGATACCGCTCTGCCGTTGGCGGCGCGGCTTCGCCTTTATATCAGCGACATAATATTTCAGCATCCCTCCTCCCCCTCCTGAACATCCGATTCACACGTTTTCCATTAATTTCGAGAATATCATCGTCGTCGATCGCGCGCGCCGCAAATGAATGGCCGCTGCAACCAAGGCGAAGTTTGCAATAACTAGCGAGCGAGCGCGGAACCGGTTTGCGGAGAAAATAATAGACAACGCCGGAGAGAGAGAGAGAGAGAGAGAGCGGGGATGGCAGATGAGAACAAACGCATAGATTCAGCAAGTTCTAATGAGAGACAAATGCCGAACGGTAGATTCAATTTTCGCCGGTGGACGAGTGGAAAGGCAATTTTCCGGCTTCTCTCAATTTCCGGCGGCGAAACGGCTGGAATTCATCGGCCGCCGGATATTTTAGTATATCCGTCGTCGTATCACGCTAAACTCGCTGTGATCGGCCGCATAATAACGGTTAAGCCTATCATATGTGTGAGCAAAAAGTTATTCAATTTTACCGCAGACACGTGTTTACAGCGCGACTGTGCGGCGCACTAATTACGCCGCGCGCGATAAGGGGAGCGTGGAAAAGAGAGGCAAAAGAAAACGAAGGGAATAACGCGCGAGTATCCTGCTTTTACGATTCCCTTTGCTCCCTCGCGAAAAAGGGAAAGCCAGGAGCGCCGGCCGCGTGCACGATTCCTTTGCACTGCAGGAACGGAGTTTACGGTCTCATTTTCGTTCGAGCGTCGTGCTGTCGCGTAATTAAAACGGCCGATTTCAACGCACTTAACTTAAACGTTCGAGATAAAGGGCGCTTGAAAAATAATAGTCCGTCGTCCCCGTGTAAAGTTTATTTACTCGCGCGCCCCGCCGGGATAAATCATCGGGATGTATCTCTGCGTCTCTCCTACACAAGATCCGCATTCCTGCTGAGTCCGTACTTTTTGAAAGATATTTCACCCTTTCTGCCGCTGGCACGCGACGCGCGAGACGTTGGTAAACATATTTACACCGTTGCGCGAACGAATAGGCGACAGTCGTCTCAGGCGAAGGAAAATGTTTGCACAGTATCCCAAAGCGAAGTCCTGTCCGCCCGTGTCGTCCCTGCTTGCTGCGGTATAGTCGAGCCGCGCCTAAAACGCGATGTTCCCCGAGAATCTTCGGGGCGAAAGAACATTCCTCAACGTCCGGCCTCTGCCGGTGGCTGAAATTCCATACGGCGGAATAAAATCGCTCGGAGGAATCGCGCTCACCTGGCCGAAGGACCCAACATTCGTCAGTATCGAGAGAGAGCGAGCGACTTTCTAAAGGAATCGACCCTCGTTTCTCTGCCGTTCGCTCAGCCGGAAATTAAATAATGCGACAACCCCGTCGTCGTATTTTTCACGATACAATCTAAGGAAAGACGAAGGGAAGCGAGAGAGAGAGAGAGAAAGAGAGAGAGAGAAATGTAAGATAGCATAAAAATATAAATTTAAATATCCACAAAACGGGGAATTTATATGAAATCAAGATTGTGTTAACTTGAAAATTTGTAAGAACATGTAAAGACTTAAATAAAGTAAATTAAGTAAAATCAAATGAAGAAATTTGTGAGTTCCGAAATTACTTTACGCGTTATTAATGTTAAGTTTTTTGTCATTATTATAAAATATCTACGAAACTTTATTATATATATAAGCGAATATATTTATTTGTTTATTGATATAACAAAACGCGATGAACCAACATGAAAAGTATGACATATCATACACACTTTTCATGTTGGTTGATCGTGTATTGTTTTAAGCGCAACATCGCAGTCTTATCGAGCCTCTCACCAACGAGGAGACTAAAGATGACTAAAGACGCCCCTCAAACGCCGGCCCACGCGTTTACCTCGGCCGTACAGCTCGAAGTATACATGAATTCAAGAGAGACAGGGAGAATTGGCCACGAGTTGATTAACGAGTCTACTTGAAAAGAGTGGCGGGAGCGACGAAGAAGGTGGACGAGAACCGGGCGGGGAAACTCGCGAGAAGACAGACGAGATGCGAGACGGCTGCCTCGAAGAACGAGCGCCCTTGTCGATGTCATATACCTGCTCGTCACGCTCTACCGTTCGCGAAAGTCGACGATGGGACAATGCTTACACGAACAGCGACACACGTAAAACTCACGGGATCAGTAAAGACGCGCGCGGAGATGAAAACATCGCCGATGGCGCTCGAAGGTGGCCAAGTGGAAACAGACCGGATACGACGCGACACGGCGCCGTGACAAATCGGACCTCTCGGCGGGGAATTTGCACGGCGGTATCAAACACCCCGATGGAGAATGACGGGGGAAGCAAGGCGAAGGAGCCCGGTCTATCTGCGCGATGTTCCTTTCTTTCACGGCCGAGGCGGCGTGTTTGCGCTCTCTCGCGTCCCGGCTCTTCAGCGGGGCAAATCGAAGCCATCGAGTTTCAATCATCCCGCGCTCGCGCTTTGTCACCTGGACGAGTGTCGCCGATAACTTTCAACGACGAGAGCCCTACCTACATTTTCGCGCACCGTCGCGCGTAATTTCAACGCTCTTTGCAACGGGACACGATGCCCCGTAACCCGTTATCCGCTCCCTCGAGCGCGGAAATTCAGCCGGGGAAACGCGACTCACCGGGTGATTTCCACTTTTAAGCGCGTGCTACTTTTTCGCGAGAACTCAATTAGTCCCGGCCTACAATAAATACTTTCACCTCTGAGCCTTAAGAAATTGGCCGATCACGGGCGAGCTATAAAAGAACAATCAATCCTGATTGGTCGATTTCTTCAGGCTCGGAGCTGAAATTCTCAGCGCTGCTGGCGAATTTGTTTCCACCGCCGCTACGTCGGCAAACATTCGCAAAATTGCTTTCCTCGGCAATAAGCAAGCGAAGAGAAGGGACGACGAGTACTCACTGATTGAGCGTCCGGTCGTTGCTGCCGGTGGTCGCCGAACCCTGCACCCCGGAAGCGGCAGCGGCGGCAGTGGACCCCGAGTCGTGATGCCGGCGCTCCTTGTGGACGATGCCCATCAGCTTCATCCACGGGTTGTTGGCCGCATGGGTGCCCATGCCGCCGCTCTGCCACATTGCGCTCGCCAGCCTCGCTCCTTATGCGGGAGCCCGGCTCGGGCTCCGACTTGTCTTCGAACCTGGCCGCGAGCTGCGGCCTACCGGGACTAACCTCCTCCTTCTCCTTCGTTTCGTCCTGTCCCGTCGGATCGGCCAACGGGAGCACCTCGTCCTTCGGCCTGACGACGAATTCCACGGCCTGGCGACGACCTCCTCCTCCTTCCTCCTCGGCACTCGTCTCGTGACGGGCGACGGGCCCGACGGGCGGGACGCGCGACTCGGGATCCTCCGGGACCTCTAAGCGACGAGGGCCCGCACGGCGCAGCTGCACTGGGTAGGTGCGAGGTGCCCTGCGCGGCCCCGTAGGCTCCCGGCACCCGAGCACCTCCACCATCTAATCCTTCGTTTCGTCACAAGGCTTCGCCCCGTACCCCCCGCGCCCCGCCACGGCCTTCGTTCCTGCGTTCTTCTTCTCCCGTTCCCTCCGAGCTCTCCTCCCCCAGCGACGCCTGAGGGACCTCGTCGTTCTCGCAGCAGCTGCTGCTGCTGCTTAACGAGCCCCTGTCTCTCCCCCTGCGTTCGGCGACGAAGGCTCTTCCTCCTCCCCGGCGAATGTTGAACTATCCGCTGCTCGGACGACGAGGCAGACGGATTTAACGGTGTGTGTGCGCGCGCGCGTCGACGGCGAAGTGACGCAGGACGGGAGGACTTCGCGCGGGAATTAAATTCTTCCGCGAGTTCCTCCGCGCGCGCCGAGAGATGCGGATAGGATTGCTTCTCTTTCGGAGAAGGGATCCTTATTGGATGATCCCGGTCGATCGGTCACGTATTATTGAATAGCGCGCGGCCGGTTGCGTCTCTCGAGCCGCCGTTGAAATATCTTCGCGTCGTCGCGCACGACGTCGTACACGGCCGGCCGACACGACGGATAATTATTTATTATCGCGGTCGATAACGCGGGGGAACAGGTAAACATGCTCGCTTCCTCTCGCGGAATTCTCTATCGAGATTCGCGAGCTGCGACGGTTTTTCGAGCTCTCGGCCCCTTCTAAAATTATGAAGGAGGAGTCGCGGAAATATCGGCCGATCTCGGGGAAAGATTGGAGATCGGAGGAGAAATTTCATCGCATGCTCGGATGCTCGCGAAACGTTCCTCGGCTTTGTCTTGTAAATAAGAGCGAACACTCGCGCATCGCCCGAGCAACATCCCGTCATAGCCCGAATCGAGGGCATGTCTAATTAACGAGAGGATTCGGAGCGCCTAAATTTCGGCGGAATATATATTTTGATTCTCCTTTAAGGAGAAATGGGATAGAACTTATCCGGGATAATGGTAGAAAGGGATGAAGACTGGTAAGAATAGGTAAGAGGAAAGTAAGAAAGCGGTGAATTTTGTAAAGGATAAGAAAAATAGTGAAAGTTGTGAACAAAGGAGGTAGCTAAAGGTTAAGCGGAGTTCGTTTCGATGTAGAAATGTAAGGTAAAATGTAAATAGTAGAATGTGTGCAATGTAATATAAAGTAAAATAAAGTAGGATGAGCGGGTGTAAACTAAGTAGAGGCGGAAGTAGATTTAAGAAAAGGATAGAGATGTAAGAAGTTTTTCAGAGGAGAAGTTGTAAGTGTCATTAAGCAAGTAGTAATTTAAAGTAACTTGTATGTTTATTCAAATAAGTGCAATTTCTGTGACACGAAGGTTTAGTTTCCTTTAGTTTCGACCGAATACGTAAAATGAATACGTAAAATTTATAAGTAGAGAATATACGGAGTGTGTGTATGCGCGTGTGGCAGAATGAATTTTAGAGCAAATGTAAACCAAGTCCCTTCCTGGCGATGTAAGCTGAAGTAACAATAAAACTGTGCTGTATATATCGACCCTTTGAATTTCTCGGCAATTAATTTCAGATCGCCTGCGAACGGATGTTACATACGAGATGCGTTTGGAGACGCGAGTCTTAATTTTTAATTAAAACTTGCCGTATCCTTTACCTCATCGCAGAGAGAGATAGAGCGAGAAAGAGAGGAGGCAGATGTGTAAACAAGTTCTCTGGAAATAATTTGACTCAGCGCGCGCTAATCAGCCACTCGGGGGGACCAAAAGTTCCCTCCCTCGGAGGGAAGCGGAGCGTGAAAGATAAATATTTATTTAACGACGCGAGATACTTAGTTCCTCTGTAGCGATGCGCTATTAATAAAGGCATTATCGCGGGGGAACGAGGTTAAACCGGGAAGAAAAGAAAAAAAGGAGAACGGCGGAGGGAAAAAATGGAATTACTTCCACCCTCTCGGGAGGCGTCACGAGCCGGCCGTCCGATTCGCAAAGAAGATTCACGGGACGATTTCCGAGATTATCCTGCGAACTGCTCGTGATCATAATTACAGACCGGATATCTGAGATGGTAATTACACACCGACGCGATGCCAAGTTATATCGGCATTTTCATCGACGAAAGATACCCGAAGTCGGTCGCAAACGGCGCAAATATCGTTACGTTGACGTTGAGCAGCGAATGGATCTCGAGACGAGAGAGAAAGAGAGCGAACGATTGATCCAGGAAAGAGATTTCGTGGGATTCTTCGAGAAAAACAGAAATAAGACGGGCGTAATCGCGAAAAATGTCGACGGGGTTCACACCCGTCGTCCGAACTTGCGAAGAAATTTACGGCTAATCGAGTGCCCCGCGAGTTCAAACGTGCACACATACCGTGCGAATTCTAATGCACACGGCGGTTGGATGTTTTTCATAGTAAAGAGTTAAAGAGGCGTGCGCTTCAAAGGTTCGAAGAGCTTCAAAGAGGCAAAAGGATGAAAAAAAATGCCCATAACGCTTGTATGCCGGCCGACGCGCGCGCGCGCGCATACCAGATGCATAAGAACCGCAAACAGTTCACTATCGATCCTCTTAAAAATATCTGCAAATCGGCGTGGTAATGGCCGAGGCTCTCCCTCTCTCTCTCTCTTACAACATTAACATTACAAATTAACCAATTTTAGAGCTAAACTTTCTTTTTCCTTAAACACATGTAACTGAAAATTATTTTTTAACCCACGCTCTAAAGTGGGCCTTTCATTCCTTTTTTACTTTCCTTTTGCTTTCGCACAATAATTATTTTCGTTCACGTGATTTGGAATCAGCAGAATATATTGTTACTTCTTTTCGATTCTACCGTGTATCTCGTTTGGTTTTACAGGGAGGATGCAATAAACGCTGCTCACTCTCTCTTTCTCTCTCCCTTTATCTATCTATCTTTCGTCAGAGAGGTGTCGCGTCGCGGGATGCGTGGACACATTAAGCCGGATCCATTTTTGTCGCCGGCTCGCCAACACGACACGGCTGTGGCAAACTTTCGCGTCTGGTATGGCGAGATTCCGTATATACGATGAAAGGGAAGGGGGCTAACCACACGGCGCACACGTACGTGTAGACACACGCGGAGAGGAAAATACAGGGAGGGGGAATTCTAGTGTGAGAGTTGCGATAAATTGACCATTGAAATATAACGCGGAAATAATGTGTCCGATGATTTAAAGGGTAGAAGTTTATATCGCGACCTTGCTCGTGGCTGGCGCAGCAGTGTCCCTCCCCTCGAGTAAATAACCGGCTAAGGGTGAATCTCTGCCGGGGAGATTCGTACTTAGCAGTTTCTCGGCCGTGTCTGTTTGAACTAACAAGGGAAGGGTCTCAGCCGTTTCGTCGTTTTCCATTCAGGCTTTATGCGGAAACGTTGCGGGTGGAAGCCAATAACATATTCCGCAAGTTACAGCCCCTATCTTCGCGTTGGGCAAGAAACGGTGGTATGTAATAACCTGGCAGGGTGTCCGGTGATCCTGAAAGCGGCCGAATATTTCACGATGCATTTTAGAAGACAATGTTTCGGACAAAAGTTTCAAGGTTTCAAAAAGCGCATTCAACGGCAGCACGAGTGTGACCATTGGTAGCGTCGCCAAGGTCAAACCAAGGTGGACCCAATCTTTCTCAACGGAAACCTCTACTTTTCATCGCATCATCTCGTTCCACTGATTAATTTGACCAACTTTCGTCCGAGATATTTTCCTCGAAAGCGCATTCTTCATGAAATATTCGTCTTCTCCAGATTTTTCGGACACCCTGCACGGCAGGGTTTATTGTACCGTCATATTTTTTTTTTTTAACGCAAAGATAATAACACCGTAACTTGCGGAATATATTATCGGTTTCGCTCGCAACATTTCTTGAATGAGCTTCAATCGAAGAACGACGAAACAGCTGAGCCGCCTCCCTCGCGAGCGTTAATTTTACTTTCATCGTGGATCGCGTACGCCCGACGATCCTCCGCCGACAATCTCGGAGACGCCGTGTTCCTCCGCATATCTACATATACATACGGCTATTATCCGGAGCGCATTGCGCTCTCCTCCGCAGGAGAGATCCGGAAAGTCAGAGGGATAAGCCCGGCGCGCGCGGTGCGCAATCCTCAGCCGTCCTGCGCAAATTCCAGGACACCGCCGCCGCGGTATCGCCCTCCTCCTTCTCCGTCTCCTTCGCCGTCCCCCCCTCCCCCCTCCTCCTCCC